GTCAAGAGTCAAGATGGGGGACTTGCTTTGGTTTGGGTCCAAGGAGAGGAGGTAGGATGGTACCATTTTCCTAGCCGAGGGCAGCCCAGGAAACAGCTGCCTGCATTACAGCCCGGGTAACAGCTGCCTGCATTAAGAGGGGAGGGTCCAAGGACAAGCAGGACGAGCTGTCCCCAGGAGAGGTGCAGAGGGAGGGGTCTTCCCGTGCAGTCACCCTCAGGGCTGGCACAAAGCTGGGGCACCTCTGACGCGACCCCCCGCAGAGGGTCCCTTGGGTCCCGAGGTGCCCATGGGTGCAGGAGGCTGAGCACGGAGACAAGTCAGGGTTCAGGGTGGGTAGAAGGCAGACCCATCTCCTGGACACCACGACGCATCACCTACAGAACGCCTTGCCCACATCTGTGCCCGACAGTTCATTTCACGTGTCCACGCTCAAGTGTTCGGTCCAATGCCAGTCTAGATGGTGCCAGGAAGTTATTTTTCAGAGGAGATGAACCATGAAACCAGTAGCCTGCGTGTAGAGCAGGTGAGCCTCAGCCACGTGGGTGGGCCTCGTCCTATCAGGTGAAGGCACTCAGGGGAAAAGAATGAGGTTCCCCCAAAAGAAGAAGGGATTTGGCCTCAAACACCACAGCATAGAAATTCCACCTAAGTCACCTAGTCTTTAGGTTCAAGACTACGAACGTCACCACTTCCCTGAATCTCTGGCCTGCTGGTCAACCCTGTCAGCTCCTCCAAGCATGGGAGATAGTTTCTGAAAACAAGTCCAACTCTAGTGGGGAGCGGGAAGGGGGAGAGGCAATATAGGGGGAGGGAAGTAAGAGATATAAACTGTTATGTATAAAATAAGCTACAAGGGGACTTCCCTGGCAGTCCAGTGGTTAAGACTCTGTGCTTCAGCTGCAGGGGGTATGGGTTCAATTCCTGGTCAGAGAAGCAGGATCCCACAAGCCAAATGGTGTGGCCAAAAAAAAATAATTTAAAAAATAAAATAAGCTACAAGGATATACTGTACAGCACAGGGAATATAGCCAATATTTTATAATAACTGTAAATGGAATAGAATCTTAAAAATTTGTGAATCACTCTGTTGTACACCTGCAACTTATATATTATATAATATTGTGTGGCAATTTTTTAAAAAAGATGTAACAGAGCTTTGTGCACAGTTGATACCTTTAAAGAAAAGTCAGTCTCTACCTCTCACATATATGTAAATTATAACTATAAATATATAATTATAATTGCATAATTACATATTGAAATATTTTATATCATTTACATATTATATATAATTAATTATATACAAGTATTAAATATATTAAATATATAATTTTTTAACTTAAATAGTATATAGCTTTTTCATCCTCTTCCGTTAAATATAACTTTTTTTTTTTTTTAACAAAGCTATCCACTATATCATGAGTCCTGTTCACTGACTACAATTTTCCAGAGATTCTGCCCACCTCTTCCATTGAAATTTCTTCTGTAGGAGGAGGGACTGAGTGCAGCCGGGCAGAGGTGACAAGCCCTTTTGTGTGTAACAACCCACCTGGGTTTGGAACACTTTATGCTCTTACAAGTGATTTATGCTTGACAAGAACGCTCCTTATCCAAGCCAGCAAATCAATCTTGGCAACTAACCGTCATCACCAGTGGTGTTTACATCAGGTGCGAGCCAAGAATTCACTTTTTTTTTTTTTAACCCCGAAAGGCAGCATGTTTTCAACCCAAGTGGTTCTCAAATGTCAGCATGCATTAAGAGCCCCTCAGACGGCGTGTTAAAATTCCCAATGCCTGGCCGCACACCCTGAGTTTGTTTTTAACACGGTTTTAACATTTTAACAGTCTATTGTCAAGCCTTTAAAATATAACAAGAGTGAGTTGGGCTCTTTCGGTTTTTTTAAACATAATTTTCTGTAAGTTTATTATAGAATTAAAAGGCTATATATGGCATGGTCTGAAGTAAAATATACACTATAAGGTATATATACGATTTACTTGGAGGGGGCAGGTTGCTAGGAAATACCTTTTTATTGTCTTTTTAAACAATTTTGATTGCAGTAGAGTTGCTTTACAATGTTGTGTTAGTTTCTGCTGTACAGCAAAGTGAATCAGCTATACGTATACATATATCCACTCTTTTTGGACTTCCTTCCCATTCAGGTCACCTCAGAGCAGTGAGTAGAGTTCCCTGTGCTATACAGCAGGTTCTCCTTAGTTATCTATTTTATACATAGTAAGATTTACAGTATTGTGGTAGTTTCAGGTGTACTACAAAGTGATTCAGTTATATATATGTGTATATATATGTGTGTGTGTATATGTACATATATTTTGTCAGATTATTTTCCCACCCCCAGAGTTTTCATTTCACAGGTGGGGGCTGTGTGTTCTGAGCATCTACCTGTATCACCCATCACTTCTCAGGTGATACAGATGCTGCTGCTCTGGGGACCCCACCTTGAAAACCATGGTCCTAAATGGTCTCATCCCCTTTGGATAACCATTTAGGGAAAAAAATGATACGAGATGCCTTTGATGTGATTCGACATAGGAAAATGTAAACAAATACAGGAGGACAGTTATCACCACTTCCTGACACTCACTCCTGCGGGCCATGAGATTAGTTCTCTGCAAATGTCAGAGTTTTGTGCGATGCCACAAAAAGCTTCACTTTAGAAAAAGGAAGCTACGGGTACACACATCTGCATTCTCTCTTGCATATTTCTACACCCGTATTCAAAGGAGAAAAAGACAAGAATATTCCTGAAAGGAGCACCCCACCCCATACACAGGTCCCCTTGTCACGATGCTGTGTGTGTGTGGTTTTTTTGTTTTTTTTTTTTTGCGGTACGCAGGCCTCTCACTGTTGTGGCCTCTCCCGTTGCGGAGCACAGGCTCCGGACGCGCAGGCTCAGCGGCCATGGCTCACGGGGCCCAGCCGCTCCGCGCCATGTGGGATCTTCCCAGACCGGGGCACGAACCCATGTCCCCTGCATCGGCAGGCGGACTCTCAACCACTGCGCCACCAGGGAAGCCCACGATGCTGTTTTTTACGAGCCGTGTGGAGTCATGCTCCCATCAGATGCAGGAAACACTTGGCGATCCTATACCCTCTGCAGACCCTGAGGCTGGACCCGTGCCGATGAGAGAACCACTCTGTCCAAAGACACCCCTTTGAGGGACGACTGGACCCCAGGAGTTAAAACTCAGGGTTTAGAGTCCAGGGAGAGAAGCAGCCACATTGCTGTGTGAGTGCTTGAGGCGACATTAGAATCTCTCCAGGCTCAGGGTTCTTTTCATTTTCTTCCTTGCTATGCACGCCCCATGCGGAAAGCACCGGGTTGGCTAAAGGGCTACGCACACCTACGTGCTGAGAAATAAACGCGAAAAACTCAGAAACGGCAGTGAACGAAGTCAGCCCGTTAACTCCAGCAGGACCCCAGAGCGTCCGTGACACCCAACCTGGCCCGGCTCAGAGGCCACGGGGCTGGTCCTCCACGAGACCCACACACCCTGAAGGTCTCCTACAGCGCCAGCACAGGTGACCCACAAACTGGGGGCTGAAAGCAACAGGACTTCATCCTCCCCCAGTCCTGGAGACCAGACGTCTGAGACAAATAGCATAGGATAGCACTTATATGTGGAATCTAAAATATGACACACAGGAACTTATCTACCAAACAGAAACAGACTCACAGACACAGAGAACAGACCTGTGGTCGCCAATGGGGGGGAGGGGGAGGGGATGGGGGAGGGAGGGGAGGGGACGGGGAGGGATGGACTGAGGCTTTGGGATTAGCAGGTGCAAACTGTTACATTTAGGATGGATAAACAACAAGGTCCTACTGTAGAGCACAGGGAACTCTACTCAATATCCCGGGATAAACCATCATGGAAAAGAATGCGGAAAAAAACGTATATATATGTGTAACGGAATCACTTTGCTGTGCACCAGAAACGAACACAACATTGTAAATCAGCTATACTTTAATTAAATGATTTTTTAAAAATATGCTTCTCAGTTTCCTCAAGTGTAAAATGATGATAATAATAGGATTTACCTCAAAGCATAAATAAACAGACTGATATGGATGTGTGAGTGCCAGTTAGCAAACAATTGTTAATACGGGCGGACCTCATTTTACTGCGCTTCAGCGATATTGCATTTTTTTACACATTGAAGTCTGCCCCGCGTTGAGTAAGTCTACTGACGCCATTTTTCCAACATCATTTGCTCGCTTTGTGTCTCTGCGCCACATTTTGGTCATTCTCGCAGTATTTTAAACTTCTCCATTATTATTATGTTTGTTACAGTGATCTCTGATCAGGGATCTTTGATGTTACTACTGCAAAAAGATTACGACTAACTGTAGGCTCAGAGGATGGTTAGCATTTTTTAGCAATAAGGTTTTTTTTTGTTTTTGGGGTTTTTTTTTGCGGTACGCGGGCCTCTCACTGTTGCGGCCTCCCCCATTTGCGGAGCACAGGCTCCGGACGCGCAGGCCCAGCGGCCATGGCTCACAGGCCCAGCTGCTCCACGGCATGTGGGATCTTCCCCGACCGGGGCACGAACCCCGTGTCCCCTGCATCGGCAGGCGGACGCTCAACCACTGTGCCACCCGGGAAGCCCACAATAAGGTATTTTTTAATGAAGGTGTGTACACCGCTTTTATAGACATGATGCTATTACACACTTACTAGACTACAGTCTAGTGTAAGCATCACTTTTAGACGCACTCGGAAGCAAAAACTTCGTGTGACTCACTTTATTGCAATATCTGCTCCACTGCTGTGGTCTGGAAGCAAACCCGCAGCATCTCCCAGGTCTGCCTGTGTTAGTCAACACAGCTTTCACCTTGAGACAGGTTGATTTACAAACGTTTGGGGGTGTGAACCACCAACACCTGGGACGAGCACCCTGCCCAGTGCGTCGTGGTGACGGGTCACCCTGACCATACTGGCAGCACCCGAGACCCCTGGCGACTGGCACCCACCTGCTCTGAAGGTCATCCAAGTTCAGTTCCCCGACATAGTGTGTGGCCGAGGACACAGTAACCACCCTTGCGCTGCAGCCAGGGGTGCCCGACTCCCGCAGGGTGTCCAGGAGGAGGTTGGCCAGCAGGAAGTGCCCCAGGTAGTTCACACCAAAGTGCTCCTCAAAGCCGTCCTCGGTGGTCCCCTGCGGCACCATCATTACACCAGCTGGGGAAAGAGGAGGGTTCAGGGACAGTGAGACAGGAGGAGATGGGAGGAGGCGGGATGGGATAGGAGGACGTGAGGAAGAGGTGGGATGAGGTGGGATGGGATGAGGTGGGATGGGAGATGACATGGTTTGGATAACATGGGATGAGATGGGATGGGAGGAGGTGAGGTGGGATGAGGACGGAAGGAGATGAGATGAGGCTGGATGGGATGGGGTGGGATGGGTTGGGATGAGGTGGGATGGGATGAGGTAGGACAGGATGGCGGTGCTGCCCCCCAGGTGGATGGGGTACCTGCCCAGTGCCAGGAGGGTGGCTCTAGCCCTGTCTGCTGCCCCACCTTCCTGCCCGTTTTCTGCTCTGTACACGGTATGGAAGATGCCAAAAGACCAACAAGACCCCGTCCTGCTCTCAAACTCTGCCCTTCGATGGCCCGAGCTTGTAAATGATGACAAAACAGCAGGACCCCCCAGAAAGTGAGAGTGTCCTGAGTCACCCAGCAGTGTCCCCCAAGCCAGTCACTCTTCTGGATGGGAACAGCCATCCGCAGATGCCAGGGGCCTGGTCTGAGGTGTGGGCAGCACAGCTGGGACACCAGGGGGGTGACGCTATCCTATGGTCCACAGGCGGGTGGACAGAGCCCTGACCCCCAAACTCACTTTGCCACGGCAGCCCCTCACTCAGGTGAACCCCAGAAGCGAATTCATCCCTCCGGCGCCCTTTAGGGAACGTCCCCACTGCAGGCCCCAGCCGGCCCGCCAGCCATTGGTCCATAAACACATTTGTGAAGCATGTCCTGGGGCTCCGTGCGTACTACCTGACAGCTTGGGACACCCAAGCCTGCCCTCCGGTGGGGGGCAAAGGTCGTCTAAATCCCTGTCCCTAAGTCCCTCCAACAGAGGCCAGGACACAGGTAATGAGCAGAACACATGCCCAGCCCACATGGTTCCATCTCCTAGAGCAGCCAGCGGGCTTGCACATGTGTTTGTCTATGTGTGTGTCTAGGTGTGTTTGTGTGTTCATTTTATTCGTGCATATAATTATGTGTGTATTCGTATGCTTATTCTAGATGCATTTGTATATGTCCATGTATACATGTGTGTCGTGTATGTGTTCACATGTATTTGCACACATGTGCACATGCACACATTTATACACATACATGTTTAAGCATTTGTGTATTTGCATTCACGTGTTTATAAATGCCTATCAACTTATACATGCATTTTCTTTTGCATATATGGTATATGCATGTCTATGAATTTGCACTGCAGATGCATGTATACGTACTTGCATGAATGTCTGAATTTGCATATAACATATGCATATGCATGTATGTGTAAATATTTGTAAGTATATGAGCAGTTATTTGCCTATGTGTAAGTGTTCACAGTCAACTATGTATTTGCACATGTGTTTATGTGTAATGCATGCATACTTGTATTTCCAGTTGTATATTCGTCCACATAGGCTTTTGTATTTGCATATATATTTGCATTTGCAAGTTGTTTTGCATATATGTATGATTTTATGCACATATGCATATATATTTTTGCATATGTATATACATGTGTTTGTACTTCCATGTGTATACACTTCTCTGGGTATATGCATTTACATATGTGTATATGTTTATGTTTGTATTGATATGTTTGTTTACATGGATGTATACATATATATTTGTATCTGCATATGTATATGTACATGTGTATGTGGCTGCATATGCATTTCTATATGAAATTCTCTGTATATGCATTTGTATGTGTTTGTTGGTGTGTGGGGTTTTTTTGTTTTTTGTTTGCGGTACGCAGGCCTCCCACTGTTGTGGCCTCTCCCGTTGTGTTGCACAGGCTCTGGACGCGCAGGCTCAGCGGCCATGGCTCATGGTCATGAACCCATGTCCCCTGCATTGGCAGGTGGACTCTCAACCACTGCGCCACCAGGGAAGCCCGATGTGTGTATATTTTATATGGATATATTCGTATATGTACACATATATATTTGCATGTGCCCATGTATGCATTTCTACATGTAATTCTCCACATATGCATTTGTATCTGTGTATGTGTTTGTTGATGTGTATTTTATACGGATGTATTTCTACGTGTATATATTTTGTATTTTATAATGTACATATATTTGCATTTGCAGGTATATGAGTTCTGTATGTAATTCTCTGAATATGCATTTGTATACGTGTATGTGTTTGCTGATGTGTATTTTATATGGATGTGTATTTCTATATGTATATATTTTGTATTTGTATATGTGTGTGTATATATAAATACTTGTATGTGCCTGTGTATGCATTTCTACATGTCATTCTTCATATACACATTCATGTCTGAGTAACTGTATGCATGCACAGTTTCCCAGCTGCACCGCAAGGCCCCTCCCGGGCCACACAGGCCACACTGCATGTCCCTCCACACTCAGGTCCCGGGTAGGATCCACCCTGGGTTTCACGACCCCATACATCCCCACTGCAGGTTCTGAGGTTCCTGAGGCAAAGAAAACATTTGATTCAGGCTCTGGCTTTCAGAGACAGCCAAGTGCTCTGGGTGTTGCAAGGTGGTAATATTTAAAAAAACAAAGCTGTAGGGAGGCTGCAGGCTGATGGCAGCTTCCACAGACAAGGATGGAAGAGGAACCGTGATGGAAGATGGGGCTCCAGACGCAGAAACGAGAAGACGGGGAGTTCAGGTGTGTGGTGTCTCACCCTCACACGCATCCCGGCCACACCTGCCTCCTCCCTCCACACCCAGCTCTCCCCAAAAACCTCCGGGATGTTGAAACTTTATCCCCTGCGCTGATGACTGTCAAACATCATGAGTATGGCACCACATGGACGGAGGCCACAGACACGAGAAAAACGAGCTACACGTGTCTTAGGCACTCAACGGAGTGTGTGTTCAAATATACCTACAGCCACTAAAATTCGATGAACAAAACAGATTGGGAGTTTTGGACTGACAGGTTCACACAGCTATATTTAAAATAAAAAGTCTTTCCATTAAAACAACATAAACAAGTCAAGGGTCTTGGCAAAGTTCACACAGCCACTTCCGGGAAGATGGCGGAAGAGGAAGACGCAGAGATCACCTTCCTCCCCACAGATACACCAGAAATACATCTACACGTGGAACAGCTCCTACAGAACACCTACTGAACGCTGGCAGAAGACCTCAGGCCTCCCAAAAGGCAAGAAAGTCCCCATGTACCTGGGTAGGGCAAAAGAAAAAAGAATAAACAGAGACAAAAGGATAGGGACGGACCTGCACCAGCGGGAGGGAGCCGTGAAGGCGGAAAGGTCCACACACTAGGAGCCCCTTCGCGGGCGGAGACTGCGGGAGGCGGAGCGGGGAGCTTCGGGGCCGCGGAGGACAGCGCAGCCACGGGGGTGCGGAGGGCAAAGCGGGGAGATTCCCGCACAGAGGATCGGCGCCGACCGGCGCTCACCAGCCCGAGAGGCTCGTCTGC